CATGCTCGAACAAGCAGGACTATGGAGGAGGCAGAGACATGATTTTTTTGGTTTTGGTTTTTTAATCCCCTGCCTTCTCACTGCCTTTTGCCAGCAAAGGGGAAAGCAATGTGTGCCCAGCAAAGCTGGGTGCTTTCCACTGCCCTGACCCTGAGCACCACCAGCCCAGGGGAAGAACTGCAGCAGCTGTGTAGATCTGGAGCTTGTAAATCGCCTTCAGGGTGAGGGGTTTTGAGGCTCAACCCCTGTGTTGGTCTCAAACGGTGCCCAGCACACCCCACAGCAGCCCGAAACCATCTGTATTACTCAACAAGGCCCAGGAAAAAAGCAAAATGTTGCTGTCGGTGAGCACAGTGTTTACAAGACTGGAAGTAAAGTTACAAAAAAAACCCCAACAAAACACCCAAAACAAGCCCTTTGTCAAAAACACACCTGAAACAGCTCTTGCTGTGATGAAGACGCCCCTCCTCTTCCCCTCCTCCTCCCCCAGCACATTCTACCCACGGCTTCAGCAAATACTTTGGTGAACGTCAGTCAGCAAAGCTGGTCAAACCTTAGTTGAACATTAACTCACAGAACCAGCTTCCCTGATCAGCCCTCTGATTACGCCCTGTGATTAGCTCTGGCCACAGTTAATGGAGAGGCTGGCCGCTTTCACTTTTATAGCCCGGGGATTTTGTGGGCCTTGTGCTGTGCGTCAGGGAACCTGGTAAGGTTTGGCTAAGCTCCCTGCAGTAGGAAAATGGGTTTAGACGTAAATCACAGAATGGTTAGAGGTGGAAGGGACTTTAAAGATCATCCAGTTCCAACCCCCTGCCCTGGGCAGGGACACCTCCCACCAGACCAGGTTGCTCAAAGCCCCATCAAGCCTAGTCCTCAACACCTCCAGGGATGGGGCAGCCACAGCTTCTCACAGCAAAGAATTTCTTTCTAATATCTAATCTAAATCTGCCCTCTTCCAATTTAAAACCATTACCCCTTGTCCTGTCACTACACTTCCTGACAAAGAGTCCCTCCCCAGCTCTCCTGTAGCTCCCTTCAGATATTGGAAGGCTGCTCTAAGGTCTCCCTGGAGCCTTCTCTTCTCCAGGCTGGACTACCCCAACTCTCTCAGCCTGCCCTCATAGCAGAGGTGCTCCATCCCCCTGATCATCTTCGTGGCTCTCCGCTAGACCCGTTTCCAACAGGTCCATGTCCTTCCTGTGTTGAGGACTCCAGAGCTGGACACAGTGCTCCAGGTGGGGGTCTCACCAGAGCAGAGCAGAGGGGGAGAATCACCTCCCATGACCTGCTGGCCACGCTGCTTTGGATGCAGTCCAGGACGTGGTTGGCTTTCTGGGCTGCCAGCGGGCACTGCCGGCTCATGTTGAGCTTCTCATCCACGAGCCTTGTCTAAAATAAATAATGCTAACACAAGGTGGGAACGAAGCGCCTGGTGTCGGTGTAATTTTGCAATGTGGGGGTCTGTAACCCATGGCAAAAGCAAGGTGCTGATATCCTGTCCAGGGGCTGCTCAGGATTCTAATACACCCAACAAAAAAGCTGGATGTTTGGCCTCAAGGAGACCTGAGATGCATTTGCATCTGTCATTCCTCTCCAAAATGCCGAGTTATTTCCATTTCTTAGCCATGCATCATGAGGTGTGTGTGATTAAGGTGCAGCACCCATGTGTGCAAGCTGTTTTGGTGCAGAACAAGCTCTGGGCTTGGGTGGAACCCGGAATTTCTATTTTTTTCTCTCCTGGATTTGATAGAATTATTCTGCAGGAAGGGTGCTGAGGTGTACCTGTACCCTGTGGCTGGTAACTGTACCTCCCTCCAGTACCCTCCCACAGCCCTTTGCCCACCCCAAAAGGGGAAATCTGGGCAGGAACAGGGAAGTTGGCGCAGTTCCTGGGATCTTGCCAACGAGGAAAAAGTCTGTGGGGAATAAATGACAAGGCCATTTCTACTGGAGGTGCTACGGATGTGTGTCAGCATAATAAATACAAATACCCATCTGACTGCCATCAGCAAAAGCTGGGGGTGACGCAAACCATGGGATGTCCCTGGAGATATGGGAAGGCACCGTAACGAGCATGGGGAACGGGCTACTAAATATAGCCCTTGCAAGCTGCCATCGGGAATATATTTCCTGCAATGCCAACCAATTAGAGGGAGTGACATTAAATTGGTATTCAGTTTCCACCACTTTCCATATTGCAGCTGTTTCTTTTCTCCAAACTCCCCTTCTGTAGAGAGAACTGGTGAAAATGTGTGTCTGTAGGTGATCTTAGGTGCTGGTATTGCGATGGCCATGATGCCCACTGCACCACTGGAAGGGCTGTAAGAAGAAATACGGCCATCAAGGGCTTTATAGCTGCTGCTGAATCACTTATATACATTTTTATTTAGAAGCAGCACAGACCATGCTTCTCTTTTACACACTCATACGTCAGTATCTGCTGTTAGGGCTATTTCACAGCCAAAGGCTGTGACACTGGCAGAGACACTAAATGCCACCGATTGACCACTTTGAAAGCGTGGCCGGGAGGAAGGGGATGCGTATGTGGCTTATGCCTCAGAGCTGTGCCAGGAGGACCCTGCCCTGCAGGACAGCCATGGATTTCACATCCTCATCTCAGGAATTATCATCCTGAGCAGATGAAACAGGGCTGCACTCCACCGAGGAGCAGTGCTGTGTATTCCCTGCACGCTTGCAATGAAAGCAAATCACTCTGTTCAACCAGTAGTCAAACGCTGTTGAATTATACTCCATATGTACCACCTCCTATGCAATGACTGGTTACTGAATAGTATTTCTGGATGGGACCATAATGTCCACCCAGAAAGGATGCAGTGGCTGAGCAGTGCATTTTAGCAACCAACTGCTTCTAGCAAGTTTCTCCTTTCGAAGGCAAAATCTGCTTCGGACTAAAGGAGACTCAGAGCTACACTGCTTTTAGCTATCAGAAGTCACAATAACCTCTCAGGGAATCCTACTTTCAATGTACAAGAACAGCAGTTTATGTTAATCAAGGAGAAAACCCCCAGCTTTTGATTGCAGCCTGTTTGGAGTTACGCCAGAAGCAGCTGAGGATGGGGAAAGCAGTCACGCTCGGTGCGTTGATGCTTGCTGACAGGCACTGTACCCGAGGAGAAGGCGTAGCACCACTTCGTGAATGACAATGCTTGAATTACTTTGACACAGAATATTAAATCATAATATATTAATAAATTAAATTATAATACGTAACGTTATCATATTACTATAATTGAGGCATCGATACCTTCAAATGGACATCTGCAATCACAGCTGTGTTTTGCTTGGCGCAGGCAAACACGGGAAGGTGTTTAGAGCCAAAGCCAGAAAGAATTTGGCTACTGTGGTGCGTAGTCAAACTACCAGCCACCAGAATAGGACCTGCAGCCCCCAGTCAAGCTGCTGGGCTGAGCACTCAGGAATGGGGGCAGTTCCTGGGCAGCAGGGGAAGCCAGGTGTGACCAGCCAAGGTCTGCGGATGGGAGGCTGGTGGTTAGAGCTGCTCTCTTGGTCCAAGTACCTTTATAATCTCAGCCATTACTAATCTCAATAGTAAAAGTCAGTAAGAGAAGCATTTGGGAAGCACCTTACATACCAGATGGTGCCAGGGTCCACCAGGACTTCCTCAATACATAGCTTAGGGTATTTTTCTGTTAGAGATTACAACAAAAGGTATAAACCATCTTCAAATATAAACTTCAAAATCTGAAGATGTTCCGCCCTAGGAAGCCTACAAATAATTTAAATAGAGACTAACTGTCCACCTCTGCACCTCGGCAGCCCCGAGAGACTATGAAGTTGGGCAACAGTTGCCACTTTGCATATGCTAGGATTAATTCCATACTGCAATGCTAGTTTTTGATGATTTCGCTGTGGCAAGCTGTTTTGGAACCAATAGCACTTTAAGTACACGTGTGATAGGCACGGACTCAGAGGACTGCCGGGCATCTTCTCTGTACAGTGCTTTTATTGGGCGAAATTCTTTATTTACCTGTCCGAGTCCCTTTACTAGTGTTATGAAAAAGACTTAAGTCTCTAGAAAACTAAAGAACAATTTAATTCCCTCTTCCTTTGGGCACAGTAAAAGCATCTTATATGCTGCAGTAAGATAAATCATCCCTGCAGTTACACGCCTCGTGGTTAGCATGACTTATCCTACCTCCCCACAGCACTTTCTCAAGATGGGACCATCCTTTCCAAGCCCCATTCAAATGAACGCGCTGCGTTCATCTACGTCGTGGGGTAAGTCATCTACCACTTCATGCTCAAGGCCTGCAGGCAAGATAATCACTCCACAGATACCTCTAAGCCTACCTGAAAGCGAATACGGGAACTTTATGTACCTCAGGAGCTGATGAAAGTTGACCGGAAGCTCTAGTCCTTGGTCAAGAGGATCAAGACATCCTCCAACAGAGGACCTTGGCCTAGATCTGTAAGAAATTTTAGTAGAATGGACCCCCAAAATAAGCATTTTTTAAAAATTTTCAGTCTCCAAAGTTGAAATAGAAAAAACCTGAACTGAATTTAGAGTATCTAAGTTACTCTGTAAGAGGAGCAACCGCAACTCCAGGTCCTACAGACTCCAGCATTACACGTCAGCACTAAGACTAACTGCACCTACACCACACAGAACCCACATTTTACAGAGGTACCTGACTGACAAGGCTTCATATCATAAACTTCACTTGCCCCCATCCCTCCCAAGAGGAAGAGGAACAGCACTCTGAAGCTCATAATGAAGTCAGTCTCTCAATATCCTTCACCTATTATCATATCATCCAGATAATTCAATGGGTGAGGGGAAGAAATTGAGATAGCAGTTGGTGGGGGAAATACTCCACAACCAGTTTCTTTTAAAAATGAATTGTATTTAATATTTGAATGCCTAAGGCTAGCACTGCTAGACAAATTGCACGATGAATTCCAGTGGAATAAAACATGATTTAAGTACAAAAGATGGAGGAAAAAAATGCTCACGCTTTCCAGAGGCAATGAGGTATTTTAACTATACAAAGTCTGAATGTCCAAAAACATCTGCAGATCTTCCCCTTTGCACTGTCACATTTCCTGGTTGTTGGGCATTCAATAGTTCTCTATTTCTGTGTGTGCTTTTCAAAAGGCCAAGGAAAAGTGCTTAACCATCTTTAAAGACGAAGAACTCCTTACATCTGTCCTGCCACATTTTCAGACTAGTAGCTTTAAAATGTTCGACCACTTTTTCAAGCCATTCTGATATACGGTGGAGGTTTGGATGCATCTTCCTCTGCATCTAAGTCCTGGGCTGGAAACCGATCTGGGAAGTTAAAAATTCTGCCCCCAGGACCTGTGTGGGGAAGGAAAGGGGAAACCATTAAACCTGGTGTAGACACTTGCACAAAATCCTGAGTTCCTTTTGGCTCAGAGTACTTTGGTTATCAGGATTTTGGCCTGGGATGTAGAGCTTATTCAGGATGTTCCTTCCATGTCCCTGGTGAATATCCAAATACACAGAGGGATGGAGTTACTCACTTTCTATAGCGCAAATCATTTCCACAGCCTGATTTTGGTCCTCACTAGGTTGCAACCACTCCTATGAACGAAACAATGTCATCAAAACACTCATCTGTGAGTTTGTTCAAGATGTACTTGAGCTCATTTTAAAAGTCTGTGTAGTCCACTCCCCCTAACAGGTTTTAGCTTGAAATTTTAAAGCAGCCTTGCATTACACACTTGGGATCTTTAGTCAAGAGCAGCTGCCTTGTAACCTGTATCCATTAATTCCTTACCAAACGAGATGGTCGGATGTTCATGTTTAATACAGCATTAGTATTACTCTAGTAGAGAAGCAGATGATTTATCAAGCTCACTCAGCAGAGACACACAGCATATACCCCATCACTTGAGGTAGAGTACTCACAAATTAGCAGAAAAATGTGGTGTATCATTGTGTGTATCCCCCCCTCCCCATTTCACACAAGAACTTATACTAGGTCCTACACAAGACTGTAAATAGAAGGAAGGTAGTAAAAGGAAAACCAAAAGAAGTACAAAACCCATCTAACATCCACTTAATTTCTTAGAATTAGCCCTGGGTGACTGAAGTAGAGCTCAGGCTAGGTTCATAGAGGAAAAATATGTCTTCTCCCTGGTTTGCCCCCCTCCCACCCACGCTCAGTACAAACACAGGGGTGCCCTGGGCTCCTGACTCACCATCCCGGTTTCGCTGTCGTAGCAGGAGCAGCATGGAAGACTCCGGCATCCCAAGTTGGCCATCACCAGCACAACAAAAGCACTGCCGATGGATGCAGCCAGCATGGCTACGTTAGCACCCTTCACTACTTTATTAAGCACGAACCTCTGCAAGCAGAAAAATACCAAGTTAAAGCTGTATTCAAAACGTGAAGCTCCCCACCAAAAAATATTCTAATAACTGCAAGTATAATACGTAGGAGTTTGAATCAATCGTAGGAGATTGATTCAGAGTCAGTGTTATTTAAGACTTTTCTTCCTGTGCTCTGAAGAACAAGCCAAGTGTGAGCCTCAAATGGGAAACGAGCAAGCAGTAAAATAAGGCTCCTCGTTAAATGTAAGATGCTATATACAACAGTGTCAGGTTGGGAAACAGATTTAACAATGAGTAGAAGCCCAAGGAAAGGCTGCTCCTCTTCACACTGAATACAAGAAATGTCTTCTTGCTATGCTGCACCTCAGCAGCCTGACGTTTTGTTGTGTCCTGCAACTGATCAACACCTTCATCTCCCTGGAACGTCTTCACCCCTCCAGGCAGCCACCGTTTGTACTGGGTTTGAGGTACAAAAGGGCTAATTCGTTCCTTCTTTTTGGCTTTACTGTGGGGGATACCGTTGAAAAACACCCTGGTTTAACCAGCTGACCCGTAACTGCTGTAACTTTTCCCCCTGAGGCACACGCTGGAAAGGATCTGAGCCTGGCCATTGCTGTCTCAAACCAGGTCAGGGATATGGCCAGCACCTACCCCTCCTTCTTGAGCAGCACCACGATTTTTTCCTGGCACAACCCAAACCCTTTTGCTCTCAGCAAGGAGCAGAAGCAACCAGCAGGAGCCAGCTATAAAATGGCTGAATAGCCCTGCGTGGGTTTTGTGGTTTTCAGAACCTACTTCGGCACTTAACTGTTGACTTAACTCTTTTTTTTTTTTTTAAAAAAAACTTGGTAGTCAGGGATATGGCCAGCACCTACCCCTCCTTCTTGAGCAGCACCACGATTTTTTCCTGGCACAACCCAAACCCTTTTGCTCTCAGCAAGGAGCAGAAGCAACCAGCAGGAGCCAGCTATAAAATGGCTGAATAGCCCTGCGTGGGTTTTGTGGTTTTCAGAACCTACTTCGGCACTTAACTGTTGACTTAACTCTTTTTTTTTCTTTTTTTTTTAAACTTGGTGTCCTGCTGCAGGCACCACTTCAAACTCTAATGTAAGCAGCCTGGAAGTCTGGTTCTATTTCCAAGTCACGCCTGGTGATGTTTGCAGCTTAAGATAGTCATGTTCCCCAGTAATAAGCATGGTATAGACACTTACTGTATGGATAATATGGATGGGAGCAGTACTCATGTCCTCCTCTTCACCATAGTTGAGTGTAAGGGAGCTATAAATTATTACGATGAGGATGGCAACATAAGAGACTATGGAGGCAACTATCAGCACGTTCACCTAGTTGGAGAAATTAAAAGGAGAAAAAGAAGGGGAGCAGGAATTAAAGCTATCCTCTGACAAATTAATACAACTAGTACAGACAAAATGTACCAAGAAGTACTGCAGGTGCTAGTCTTTGACCTCCTGTAGCACTGAAAAGTAGCCGGTAGCAACAGTCACTCGGAAGCCAAACACAGGGCAGTAAAGGTTTCCACAACACCGAATTTCTGAGCTACAACTGAGCACCAAATCTTAACCACAGGCACTAGTTGAACCCAATTCTTAGAGATCTCTTACTTACAAACACTATCTCCCCTTGGAGTTTAGGTGGCTTGAGAGATCCGCCCAGGAAATGCAAGTCAATTAACTTGTTTCCTATTTTAGCGCACGCAACTCTTAATAACAGGAAGGAACAACAAAAGAAACGCATTCAAAAGCAAGTGTTTTTTACAGATTTTTGCTTGCTATTAAAGCCAGCGCTTGCCTGCTGCAGCAGAAAGCCAGGTAATGCTGTACCTTCCTTTTGCTGAGGAAGGCAGCAGCTTTGGTGAAGATATCTCCAGGAAAGAAGCTTCCAGTCCTGCAGAGGGACCACCCAGCTCATTCCCTATCAAAACTGGATTTGATTCCTCTGACAATATTTTGCCCCCACCCCATATACACACAATTCCCACCACCACCACTCCCCCAACATCCCAAGGCTTACGAGAACTGGATTCTTCCTCTGAGAGGAAAACAAAGCCAGGACACCTGGGACTCCCATCACCTGCAGAGCACAAAAGGAGTTGGTAACTGGCAGACAAGTATCGGATTCGGAAGATAAACTGCTCCAGAGCAGGTGAAAGATCCTCGTTTTCAAGGCTTGGATCAGAGTGACTCAGGTCAGAAATGGAAAGAGAATTGCTGATTTCCACTCTTTTCCTCTGCAGCACCTCCTGGGAGCAGGACACTGTGGGAAATGTGTCTTGCCCCCTTGCTACCCCCACGGCAGCAATCCTCCGACCGGGTTTACAGCTCCAGCCCAGTAATAAAACTGATTAAATAAGTCCAATTTAAGTGCTAAAAACGTGCACTGCTCTCCCAAGTCCTTTTGCATCTCCTAGATAGAAGAAAGCCATCTTTCTGGAGGGGAAAGTGATTCGGTATGGTCCCTGCAGTGTGGGTCACCAGGGAGCATCACGGTACTGAACGTCAGGAGCGAGGATGCCCACCACCCACTCCTTGTCCCAGCACAGAGAATTCCTGGCACTCTGCTGTGGGACACAGCCCATCACCCAGATGTTCATCTATCTACCTGACACCAGGACAAAAGTGTTCCCTCTCCTAATTTTCAGTGGTCTTCTGCAAAAAAGACAACACACCCTGTCAATTGCTGCTATGCCCCATTTTCTCCGTTATCCAGTAGAAATATATTTTATTTAGCTCCTTCAGCGGGAAGCCTGCTTGCACTCTCCTGCCTATACCACCAGAAGGAAACTTTTATTATCTAAGTTCAAAGCAGGAAACCAGGGAAGAGCTGGCAAGAAGTCCTGGCCTCCTTCCCACGCCCAAGCTGGGTACTAGTAGGTAGCAACAGGGGAAAAGAAAACCAAAACCAAACCAAACAAACCCAAACCAAACCAACCAAATCAAAACCAAACCAAACAAACCAAAACCAACAAAGCGTAGAAAATAACAGCGTAACTTTACCATCCCGGCCCAAATGGGGGCTCTGGTTTTGCCCAGCTCCGACTCGGTTCTGAAGGCACCGTCTATGAAGCCGCTGACGACGCAGACCGTGCTGAAGGCCACCTGGAGCAGACCCAGCACCACCATGCTCCTCTGGTTAAAGATGAAGTACCGGTAGCGATCCATCCCGCTTTGATCCGTGCATCAATCCCAAGAGGTGGAGACCTGGAAGCGCCGTGGTCCCTCCGGTGAATGGGTTGAAGAGCTTCTTCCTAGGCAGGAGAAAGAAGGGATGGGAGCATCAGCACCCAGGGAGGACCGGTCCACACCTTCACCGGGAGTACAGAGTTCATCTCCTCCTGGTCGGCGGCAGCAAAAGGAAAGCAAGCAAAGGTGAGTGGTCTTTCTGGGAAACCCTTCCGAAGCTCCTGCCCAGAGGTGTGTCCCCTTCACATCCCACCCCACCCATCACCTTTACCCTTCGGGGTTTCCTGCTGCCCGGAAAGGGGTTTCCTTGGGTTGTGTCTCTTGGAGAAGAAGAGAGACCCCGGTGCCTGGCTCGGTGGAGGAGGTGACACCCTCCCGGGCAGGATGCAGCCGGCAGAGCGGTGGGACGGGGGGGG